GAGATGAAGTGAAATATGTTTTAAAAATAAAAACTTGCTGTCGCGTTGCACGCAAAGTGAGGCTAAAAAACGCATCATCAAATATTATTTCAGTTTATTTTTATATCTGTATATATATGTTTCAGGTGAATGTTAATGAAATATCATTTTGTAAGCGGCTAATGCACTTATAAGTATATGGAAAACTTTGAACTCGCGGCGTATTTATATATATACATCTCCCTCTCTCTCTCTCCATATAAATTCTCTTTCAATTCAAATTCAGTTCAATTCCTTGAAAATATTGTTAGTTATGTAAGAGGGTTTATAATTCTATGCGCTATCTCCCACGTGCAGGCAGCTTAATTTGATTACCTACTGCAATTTAATGCAAAATAATGCACATAATTATAAGCCAATAATGCGGTAGTCAATAAACAGCAACAACAACAACAACAATAAGACTAAGAAGAAGAACAATAATAATAATGCCAGCACTTGCTAAGTAACTTGGTATATGGACGGGGTTGGGTAAGAGGTCAGGTTGGGTTGAGTTGGGCTGGGTGTAAGGTGTGTGTTTGTACACTGCTTTTGATATTCAAGCAGGCGCACAACAGCAATTAAATGCCATTTAATCAATATAAAGTACATAAACAGCAACAAGTGTAGATAGCGTCTGGCCCCAAAAAGAAAATATATATGCACATACGATAAGCTTGGATATGAATAACTTTAGAGCGAGCTCTGTTCACAATTTTCTGGCTATCAGAATTTCACAGGCAATATTTTTAAGTTACCAAAGCAACGAAACTGTTAATTAAGTCACAAGATTTACTTAGCACACAAGACCGGAACTAGAACAGGTAAATTACCTCAAGGTTCAGGATCAAGAACGGTAAAGAACAGCACTAACTGAGTTGTTCAATGAAAACTGAAAAGTCTTTGCTCTGGATGCCTTTTTATATAGATCAAAAAAATGGATTTCGACAGTGACAGCAGCAGCCACGTGAAGAGAGTTCAAATTTCTCTTAGTGTTTTGCACATTTGTTGGATTTTCGAAACAAGTTTTCTAATTAATTAGTGTTTGACACACACACTCACGCACTTGAAGCAGCTGACTGGGAACTAACCTGCGCTTTCGTCGATCGTTTGATTGCAATTAAAAGTCTTGAAGGCAGCAGCGAAAGGCGCGCGCGATCAACTTCGGCAGCGCAAAAACAAAAACCACAAAAACGAGCTCCAGCCACCATGGCGTATTATTGTTGCTTATTACTGAAGGCAGCGCAGTCGACGCTTTGAAGTTTTGCTGCTTATCAATCGTGAGCATATGGAGAGGGAGAGAGCGCGCAACAAGCCGAACAGCAAACGAGCGTCGTGAGAGCGAGTGGCGTCGTGAGAGCGTGTGACATTGTGAGAGAGTGTGCGCGCTTGCTGACTCTTTTGTGTGTACGCCAGCGCAGCGAGCTTTTTCTGCTTGGAGCGTTACGCACGCTGCAGATAACCGATAGAGATGTGCTGCGTAAGCTTTTGGTTTTTTCTTTGGTTAGGCATTATGTAACGCAAGCAAAGTCAACAAGGTTCTCAATCGCTCACTTCTATAAGCAAATGAAGTTATACTTGAAATGAGTCCAACTTTTTATTAGTATAAGACATAAAAATAATTGTATAAGACTTTATTAGTTCTTTCTTAATTAGTAACTTCTGTAGTTGGTATTTTAATGAGCTATGCTGTAAGCATTTGTTAGTATAAGACTTTAATCTTGTTGACGTAGAAGCGTGTGTATAATACCATAATAGTTACTTATTTAGTTAGCTAAGTAAATGAGTGTATTCTTTCAACTGAACACAACTACACAAAAATTGGTTAGTATAAGACATTTGTATAAGACTGTTTTTGTTGACATTTGAACATGTGTATAAGACTTTATAAGTAACTTCTGTAGCTGGCTACAAAAATGTGTTATATATAAGACATTAGTAGAAGACTTTTTCAGTAAATTCTGTAGCTAAAAAATTCATTCTTTTAATAAAACTATTGAAATTTGTTAATATTAGACATTTGTATAAGACTTTATTCTGCTTGATACATGAACATGAACTGAGAACATTTTTCACTTTTAACTTCTCCAAGTATAAAACCAGTATTGTTTTAATTAGAACAACGAATTGAGCGACCTTCAAACATTTTTTTTGTATATACGTTATGCATACATGTTTATATAAGAGTTTTTTTTATAGCGTACAAACCTAAGCCAACCTAAATTAATTTCCTATATGAGCTTTTGTTATTGTAAACTCAATTCTATATTTGTATAACAAGTATACTTCAGCAGACCTTAATGGTTTGAAAGACCTTGAAACTTGATATGTCTTACACACACATACGTAGTATAACAGTACTTCTCAGCAGTAGCTTCTGCCCTCGACTAGAGCATTGAATATTCCTATTTTGCAGCAGTTCTGCTTAAATAATTTATTAATTTTTCATATTATTATGAAACACAAAAGAATAATGAAAATGTAAAATCTATTAGATCATTGTTTAAATGCTGATATTATACGCTATAATTTTGGCTATCATTAACGTTTTAAACAAAGACAAGTCATTTTGGTTAGCGTGAGCTTAGCCCAATTAATGTTTAAATAATTTAACTAGTGCACTGAACCATAAACAAACATATCGTAAAATTAACAATCTATAAAATAACAATAAATAAATACATATATATATACATATATATATATATAATTAGCGCAGAGTAATGCCCATTCAGCCTTTTTCCAGCCAAATTGAAATGGTGCAAGGCTTAGCTAGAAGACTTTTTCGGCCGGAAGTCTAGCTGCTTATAACAGATGACTGAAAGCTCCGCTGACCTCTGCCAAGCTCTTATTCCGGCTGCCTTGCATAAATGTCGAGGTCAATAGAATATTTAGCCAACTCAAAATTGAATATATAAACAAAATTGATATTTGAAGCTAATGCGAGCATATTATGTATTTGGTCAGAAGTCAAATAATATATATTTTCCATTATATTATATTATATTATTTATTTATTTAGCTGAAGACAATCGACGAGCTATTCAAATTAGATTAATGTGTGAGAGCTAGATTCTATAAGGAATTTGGCTTAGAGTTTTTGAGTGATTTAAGTTTTCTTTTGAGATTGATATCTAAGATAATGCTATGCAGGGATTAGATGATTATACTTGCTGAACATTATTCATGCTAGCAATATTCGTGCTATAAAAGCTTATACTATATAGAGTTTATACCATATAGGTATGCTATTTAGGTCTTATATGATGATACTTTCTAAACATTAGCCATAGTTGCTTAGCTTTCCTAACCATAAATCCTTCATTTCGACATCACTTGTCATTGTAATCTTAATAAATCTCATTGTAATTGTCAGTTAACATGCCTCAAGATAAAGACAGATAAAGTTGTAAACATTAATTACAGTTTGGTGGCATTGTTTCAGTGTCACGCCCCTGATTGACAAGCAATTCATCAGCTGCCAGCAATTACAGTTAATATCTTACATACTTACCTCTTGGTATGCGACTTACCTGCAGGTGGAGAGCTTGAATCACATTATCACTTATCACAGTTATCACAGTTATCGCGGGAAACTTTAAGATTGATTGGCCGCAGCCTTTTCCATGCTTTTCCCAACGTTGCTGGCCTTGACTTTTACGAGACGGGAAGCATTTTTCGCTTTGTTCTTCTAACTCGCGGCTCCGTTTTGATGTTGAGCCAAACAAGATATACTTAATGATAGCTATCAGCGGGCCCGCACTGAAGTATGTTAATGTCGCTCAATGGCCAATGAATAAATATAAAGTCGAAAAATGTCGACAAAATCAGCGGCAGCTGATGATTAACAATATTTGGCCATTAATGGGTTAACCGACAGCGAAATCGTGGCCGTTGAGCTACAAAAACTGATCGTCTGTGAGTATTTCTGGTTGTGCCCATTCATATGATTTATTATGCTCGCTGACTGGAGACTGCACGGGACGGGACGGGACTGGGACAGCTTGTCAATCGGCTTAAACTCGTTTGTTTAGTCGAGAAAATGCCACAAGCAAATTCAATCAAGCTTTCGATCCATGCCATTTTCACAGAGCTTTTGCTGTGCCGAAAATAAACAGACGCCAAATACAAATAAAAGCTGCCAAACCGTTGCACGTGACGTATACGCAATGCCCCGTCGCCGTCAACAAATGTGTGTCAAATCTTTTATTTGATTTGTTTTTGTTTAGTTTTTTTTTGTTTCTTTTGTGCTCTCGTGACACTCGTTCAGGAAGTGAGTCGAGCATATCAGTACTGTAATGGCAGAACTGTACCCAAGGGTCAGTAATGTACCTAAAGGCAGTAGTGTACCTTAAGGCTGAGCTGTACCTAAGGACAGTACTGTACCTAAGGTCGTTATTGTACCTTAATGAGGTATTGTACCTAAAAGCAGAACTGTACCCGAAGGTAAAACTGTACCTAAAGGCGAACTGTACCTAAATTGGAATAAATACTCATGCAGCCAGCTCTCTTAGCAAATATAGAAGATATATCTTATGTCAAGGGCACAACTTATGTTTGGCAGGACCTTCTCTATTGATTGATCAATATTTATCATATTTGTATCATGACAAATCAGAAAAAACTATCTAGCACAGTCTTAGAGTCAGAATTTACAAATCTGGCAGTAAATTGACTGTAGGCCCACCTAGACTACCCCAAAAATATATTATCCTCCTGTACTCGAGGCATTGAAAATCGAAAAAAAAGCATATCTAACTCAAATTAAAGCTTAACAGATTCCATTTTGCAAAAGAATCAAACTTGACCTACTCCAAAAATAAAGTTTTGAATAACTTTAAGAGATTTAGCAATTTGAGCGAGTATTAGGCAGTCGAGCACGCAGAACTGCAACATTCTTACCAGTTACCAGTTACGAGTTACCAGTTGGCAGATCTTTGTTGCTGTCGCTTTTTTTTTTTTAATACCTAAATTATTCGCACCTTTTAACTGTTTTCTTCTCACTCGGCTGCAATTTGGACTGCGATTGCAGCTCCCCTCGATGCAGCTGCTGATTGAGCAAAGCTGCAATTGATGGCACTGTTTGCTGCTGCTGCTGCTGCTGCCTTTGTTGTGGTTGTTGCTGCTGCTGTTGTTGTGGCATGATTACATATATTGTTGTACGCACTTTAGCACTTCTTTCACACACTCACACAGGCGCGACACTTGATATGCAAATTGCTTTTTTATGCTAAATATTGCAGACGCGACGAGGAACTTTTGTTCGCTTTTGGTATTATTTTTTTGTTTTTTTTTTACGGCTTTGGGCTCGATGCTAGTCTCAATGTTGTTCGCAAATTATATTTATACTTGTATCAGTTTTATTTATCTTTATTTTTGTTTCTCTCGTTTGGTGTTTTTTAAGTATCTTTTGGATCTGCATGCACGGCCGGCGGCTCGCTGTTGCGACGCATGCGAATATTGCTTTTGGCTTGCCCAGCTACAGCGAGCTGACTGACAGAGTAACCGTCGACACGTCGACTACGAAGCTTAAATTCATCGCAGATGGCAGAGGCGGACAATGAATAAATAGATATATATACATATATATATTTATAAATATATTTATATATAAAGCTATACCAATAGCTACAACTAAGCAAATACAGCAACCAAATGGCAGCAAGTGTCGCGTAAAACGACTTTTGGCGATGGGCTGAATTTGTGAGTGAATCCGTTTGAATTGAGTAATCGAGGGTATTCGGATTTTGTGCAGGTGTATGTAACAGGTGAAGCATAGTCTCTTAGTTTTGAGTGAAGAGTGAGTGGGCGGCACAGCAGGAGTTGAGAATTAAGTATTTAAAAGGCATGCAGACTTGGGAAGGCTTTTGCAATGAAAAGAAGAGTGTCTAAATGATATCTAAATATTTAATATTTAAGGTGCAGTTGAAGTAGCTGGGTGTATGAGTACTTTGAATGACCAAAGATTGCCAGCTCAAGCATTTAACCTAAAAGTTCTCAGATCAAGGCCTAAATTTGGATATGCATATGAAATCTATATAGCACAAAAGTATTTTTCTAACATCTCTCGAGAATTTTAAAAGCTTGACTAATCCTATTTACAGCGTAGTTAGGTATAATATACACTGTGACAAATTTTATTCATTTTTCTGAGTTTTTTTCAGACAACAAGGGTTAAGTTAAGCTACCATATTTTATTTAGTGAGTATATATACTAAATATACTATATATACAAATTAATTAGGGTCGGGTATTAGCTAGTCATGCACTCCCACTCATAGACACATGAGTATATGCTATATTTTATATACTTTATGACTATGATATATATCTTTTCAAATCAGGCTGTCTTTAGTTCAGGGTATTTGCTAGTCGTGCCCTCCCACTCATATATAAATTTGTATTTTTTATACTTTATATATATTTATATATAGAAAGTATATACAGTATATATAGTAATACTGTATATACTTTCTACAAATCAGCCTTCAGTTCAGGGTATGAGCTAGTCGTGCACTCCCGACTAACACTCGCTTACGTTGCTTTACATATTTTATCGTTTTTGCTATTTTGTTGCTGACTTTTGCGCTCCAAACTTTCGGTTTCTGTTTTGATTCATGAGTTAGCCTCACGAGGTGAGAGAAATGAGCGTTTGGGTCGAAGGTTCAGTGGCTTTCGGGTGTTTTTTTTTTCATTTGTTTACAGTTCTAATTGGTGGCTTAATTGAATTTGATTTTGTCTCGCTCGACTCGCATTTCTCTCAGTGTAACAGATGCGCCTCGTACTATTAGCAGATAGCAGTAATAGTGTTTTATTCGTTGCTGGTTTGGATTTAGGGTATCGATACAAGTGGCTGTTCGTCATAAAGTGAGCAATAAACAAGTGCTTAGATATTGACATCAACTGCGCTGTATACACAGCAATAAATTGGGTGAGCGATAAGACCAGATCTGAAAGCGGAATGCAAATGAAATAGACATTTGTTGCTTTTTCTATCTTATATTAACTAAATATTTGGGCTACACTTATATTTGTTTGTTATTTGCACTGCGATAAGCACATAAATACAATAACTAATCCGGCAATCCCCAATCAGTTGAATTCATTGCGATACTAAAAATACTTTTGGCCGTTAAGTAGTATATACTGATTCAGATCTGCAGATAAATTCAAAGTGTTTGCAACTTTCTCTTAAATGTTCTGGTCAAATGATAAAGTATTCATATATTTACAAGACAATAAATCGATGGCGATCAGCATGATCAGCTGATTAAACGCATTCCAAAAAGTTAGCTGTTGGTTTATGTGTTTTTAAAGAACCTATAAAAGAGCTGACTTAGTTACAGATTTTATTGAAATATTTGCTGGAGCAATTGGGTTGGCTTATGGCTTGCTTTCTAGTAAAATCACAATTATGACTTGTGCGCGGCAGTTTAAATTTATATTGCAAATCAGAAATCACAGCTGTATAAAAAACTTTTGCATACTTATGGGCGGGCGTAAAAATTGAGTTGCTTCTTTGATGTAAAATTATATATCAAATTTCTAATAATTTTACACATATATATTTTACTTGATGATTGGCGCATTTATTGCATGAGTATTCCTTTTGTAAGCTACTCTTTATAGATTTGCATACGGCATTTGTAATTTGTAAGTACTACATGCCTGTGCATAACAATAAAAAATGTAGTATACTTTTGTGCGGCAATATAAATTGGTTTGTGGCTATGCTGACGCTGATAAGCAATAGTTATTCACAATAAGCATTTGAAACTATATAAACTATTTACGTATATACACTCACACACATATATATATATATTAATATGAACAAACTTTAATATTGTAGCTCATATTATTATTAGAATATGCTGTAACCAAATTCATGTTAATTCGACTTAGCTAAGTTTCAAAACCTAAAAGCTTTTATCAAATACACGCAGAAAAGCTGCCTGCTATAGCAGCCAATGTACTGAAGTAAAAGCTTAGCCGCTGACAATTATATCAAGCAACGCTGCTGTGCTGCGAAACTCGAACTAAGTTTCGAATTGCCAACTTGCATAACGAACGAAGCGAACTTCTTTAAAGAGTTAGCTGGCGGGAAGAGCCAAGAGGAGATCAAAAACATTGGCATTAGCAGCCCGCAGCATAAGAGCGCGATTAGCTGGAATTAACATGTGCTGCATGTATCGCTAAAGTCGATTCAATATTGACACGAACAACGGCGACAGGGTCTGGGTATATCCGGTCTTCACAACTGACCGCCGTCGCCGTTCGCTGTGGCTGCTTAATGTATGTAATCGATTTCACACTACTTTTTAATCACTACGAAACACATTTATTGTTTGCGCACAGCGAGAAAAGTTAAACAAAGCCAAGAGGAGGACACGGCGAGGAGGTGTAGGAGGTGGAGGAGCAGTTGGAACTATACAAATTGACGCGGCCACATCATTGGGCATCTGCAATGGCACTGGAAACTGGGCCCAAAGTATCTCACGCCGTTAACACACAAAAGGTTTTTATTGTGCATATGTATGTGTGTATGTGTGTATGTATGTATTCGTTGACAGCCTCAATCGTCGCGACGGCCCCGAGCCTGGATCGATTTGGGGCTGAGTCGTTTGTTATATTTGTTATTTATTTTGCGGTTATAATACTTATACGCGCCTTTTTATTGTATTTACAGAAAATATTGTACGCCATTCAACAAAAAAAAAACAGAAAGAAAAAAAATTAAAACAATAAAAAACGACAAATAACAAAAAGTTTTTACAGTTTAACTTTGGGTTTTGTGCTCGCAAATGATAAATTAGCTTTGTACGTAAATTCGAAAAGAAAATCTGTACGTGAAAATATATATATATATATAAATATATGGGCAGCCAGTGAGATATATGGATATAGTTGGAGGTAAATGGAGCGAGGGACGAGTAATTGTGTAAATATCTTGTCGCTGTATGACAATAAGCCAGCTTCAGCCATCTGCAGCGCCCCCTCCCTGTTCCCCTCTCTCTCTCTCTCACTCCCTCTCTCTCTGCCTCGCCCTCCCTCATTGAGATTTGCGTCATGAATGCGGCATTATTATTATTTTGTACTTTGTCAACTTAAACAGCAAAGCGCTGATGCGATGTGATAATTCAATGTCGCGCAGCCAGCGCACGAACACCTCCAGCTCCAGCTACGACTGCGACTCAGATACAGATACAGATACAATATCTTTTTATATGCATATGGGCTGAAGTTGATGGCCGTTGATCTTTGTAGAGATGACCGCAGTTGTTGTTGCTGCTGCTCTTTTTAACATGCCAAAAGAATTGTAATTACGACACTGTCATCTGTAGCTGTATCTGTATCTGTAGCTCTGTATCTGTATCTGAACAATGGCATCAGCATAACAAAGAACAAATTGCTGTAAGCTTGGCTCAGTCTCTCTCTCCCTCTCTCTCTTTGTAAAAAGCGCCTAAATAGTGTCAATGATTAATTGCTTTTGTGATTATGTGGAAATTTAATAGATTTTTTATTGCGCTCTCTCGCGCTGGCAGACCAAATTGATATTCTATAAAGGTACAAGCAGACGAGCTGGCACTGTAGCTGGAGGCACGTATCCATGCATTGACTGCAGCATCATTATTACCCTCAGTTATTTGTCAGTTTGTTTTCGCTGCTGCTGCTGCTCCTATGACAGTAGTCGACGGCACAAACCCAAAAAGGGCCGCATCATGGTTAGAAAATTCAAATTGAATTTGAAATTCACACGCGTCACGCTGCCAACTGCAGTTGGGGGGGTTGGCCTGGCTTGTTAGCATATTTGTCCCCAACTTGGCAACTTATATTAAATGTAATGCCACCGCAAATCCTCTAAGCTGACCACAGCAGACTGGCGACAAGCAACTAGCGACAGTCGCGCTTCGCAATCTCTTGAAATCCACACAAAGTCACAAAGGAAAACGCACATTGAAAGGGGAAATTCAAGTGGAAATTACTCAATTACACGAAGACGAAAACGAAAACGAAAACGAAAACTAAAACGAAACGAAACATACGTAAAGTTGATACCAAAATATAAACCCCATTGACTTAACTGTGGGCCGTCCTGGAATTACTTTTAGTGCCTTGCACTCGCCTGAATGTCCTTGCCAGAGCGGAGCTCGTGTCACGAACTGTCGCTGCAGCTTTTGAGGCACATTTAGTAAAAGCTGCTCAGACCAGGCCAGGTTATCGATTAATCGATTCTTCTAAGAGAAGTAGCTAAAAAAATGAATTTCTTATAGGATTTTCGACTTTTTAATATTTTATTATTTTTTTTTTTATTTTTATGCACTTCACTGTTGCCATTCAATTAGAACTCTTGACTAATTTGTAACTGCAGTGCTCAAAAGTCTTTAAACTATTTTATATTTAAATAATAATTATTAATTATAAAATAATATTTAAAAATGTTAGAAAAACAGAAGATGAATGCAAAATACTGGAGAACATGCTGGAA